CCTTTTAAAGAAGAGGAATTAGGTATCAGAATGTCACCAAAGAGAAAACTGTACATTTAATTCTCTAATGATGTTCTCTTAGCATAATCCTAATTTTAGATTCCTCCCCTTTTGGCCCCTTTCCCAGCAATGGGATGTGGGGATAAATATTTCATGAAAAGTCAATAATTTTGTGAATTCAAAGATGGTTCATCACAATAAAAGTTCCAACTGAGAAAAAACTTGGCTAGGTCGAGTTGCATTCTGAAAAGAGGATTTTGAAACCAACTCTTTGGTGACCTTGAGAATGACTTGCTGTGTCATAGAAGGAAGACTCTTTTGAGAAGCTCTTTCATATTTTAGAATTTCATTTGAATTTCACTCCTCACCTGTTGTGATCATGGGAGTTCCACAGCCCAGCTTAACATTTCCCTCAAATTTGCACAGGGATGCTAAAAATTATTGTGCTGAAAAATGGTTCTGCGGTTAAATAAGTTTGGGAAGCTCAGAGTTAGGGAGTTGAACCAGCCTCTGGACTCCAATTCTTCTCAGAGTCCTTAGTATGTTAATGTATATTGGAATGCCCAAGAGGAGTCCATAGGACACAGGCTTCCCAATCAGATTTGACCATGAATCTTGCTCCTCAAGAATTATCTCTTGAGCTAAGGGTTTGGCAGATTCCACCTTGAGAAATACTGGTCTTAGGGAGCTGAAAAAAAGTTTGTCTTATTGACTTCAGATTAGCAGAATATAGTAATCTCTCATCATCTGTAAGATGGTGAAAATGGGTGTGGGTACATGTGTTGTGTGGGAGGTTTCCAGAAGTCTCAGTGGCTAGTAAAAACCCTTTGGCAAGGCGAAGGTCTCATAGACATTAGGGATTGAGAGGGAAAACATGCTAACAAAAATGATTAATACTTATTATTTAAGATATTAAATTTCCAAAAAAACTATATGTAGGTGTTCAAAATTTTCTCTGAGACAACTGATCAAATTTGCCCTTTCTGTACCTCAGCATTTTCATCTGTAAAATGGGAATAGTAATGTCCACCTCACACGGAGGTTGTAAGGACTAAAAGAGACAATGCATGGAAAAACACCAGTGTAGGGAGAAGCACAAAGATGGCACTTTTGTTCTCATTGCTGTTAGGGTTTTTTTGAAGTACTTGAGGTGCACCTTCTCTTTGTTGTACAACTTCTCAAGAAGATGGCGGTAGCCCTGCTGGCATGGTTCAGTGGTTGAGTATTGACCTATGAACCAGGAGGTCACGGTTCAATTCCTGGGCAGGACACATGCTCAGGTTGTAGGCTCAATCCCCAGTAGGGGGTGTGCAGGAAGCAGCTAATCAATGATTCTCTTATTATTGACTAGAGGCCAGGTGCAGGAATTCATGCACAGGTGGGGTCCCTCTGCCTGGCTGGCGATTGGGCCCATCTTGTCCAGTCGGGGGTGGGGGGGGTGGGGTCGGGAGGGAGGGACCATGGGAGGTTGACTGGCTGTGGGAGGTTGGCTGTGGGAGTGCACTGACCACCAGGGGGCAGCTCTGGCATTGAGTGTCTGCGTCCTGGTGGTCAGAGCATGTCATAGCTACCAGCCCGTAGTCCAGTTGTAAGTCGCTTAGGCTTTTATATATATATAGATAGATGTTTCTTTCTCTCTCAATCTCTCTCTCTCTCTCTCTCTCCCCCCCCCCTTTCCGGTCCTCTCTGAAATTAATAAAAATATATTAAAAAAAGGTGGTGACAGGTTCATATAAAGATAATTTGGGGAAACATTTTAAAAATATGCATGTCCAGACCTGGGGCATGTACATTAAAAAACACACAAATCCCTGTAATGTAACTGGGGGCAAATTCTTAAATTGTAGTCTCACCTCTTTTGCAGTAGTCCTGGAATATGTTCCTTGGAATAAAAGGTTTCTGTGGTTAAATGTTTAAAAAGATTACACACTAGTACAGTGATGGCGAACCTATGACACGCGTGTCAGAGGTGACACGCGAACTCATTCTTTTGGGTTGATTTTTCTTTGTTAAATGGCATTTAAATATATAAAATAAATATCAAAAATATAAATCTTTGTTTTACTATGGTTGCAAATATCAAAAAATTTCTATATGTGACACGGCACCAGAGTTAAGTTAAGGTTTTTCAAAATGCTGACACGCTGAGCTCAAAAGGTTCGCCATCACTGCACTAGTAGCTGCCCCAGCAGTTCCCTGGGGCTTTTTGAAGTATCTGAGAAGTCCTTCAGTGCACAATATTTGCAAACTTTTCCTTCTGAATTTATCTGACTTTGCAACATGTACGTTTATTGCAACTCTCATCAATGTCTTTGTTCAATATATTTGAGAAAAACTATATAGTACAGAGTTAAGCAGAAGAGAATTCTACCCATTTCAGAAATCTTTTTATACTAAAGACATAAGGGAGAATCAAGGTAACAAAGAGCGGCCAATTCCTCTTCCCAAGGCAGCTAAGCCTAGTTTTATTCCCACTACTTATATGTGGAAAGATTATTGAAAACTAGAGGCCCGGTGAATGAATTTGCACACGGGTGGGGTCCCTTGGCCTGGCCGGCGATCAGGGCTGATTGGGACCGGTTGGCCGGGGGGAGGGACTGTGGGATGTTGGCTGTGGGAGCGCACTGACCACCAGGGGCAGCTCCTGTGTTGAGTGTCTGCCCCCTGGTGGTCAGTGTGTCATCATAGCGACTGGTTGACCAGTGGTTCAGTCAACTTATTGTAACGCTTGCTTAGGCTTTTATATACTATATAGAATGATAAATGGGTACTTTCAAGTAAGCATCTCTGGGTAACCTCAGGGTAATAAAGGGTCAGGGAGATGAGCTACTAAAAACCTTAAGAGCTGAGACAATGGACAAACCTGGCTTTGAAATCTGGTTCCGATATTTCCCAGCTCAGTGACCTTGGGCAACTTACTTAACCTCCTATGCCTCGGTCTCATGTATATAATGGGGACAATAATAGCACCCATCCCACTGGTTTTTTTCCAGGATAAATGAGGTAATCATGCAAAGCCCTTAGTAAGGGCTTAATAAAAGCATATTATTATTACTACTCTTATTACCCATAAAGGGAAAAAGATACACTTGAGTTAAGTCAGGGAGGGAGAATCAATAATTAAAACAGAAGAGGGAATGCTAAAAAACTTCAAGCTCAAGTAAATCTTCCTCCCTTCACAAATGAATTTACCTTTTTTGTAAGTCATTACGCCCAGTACCCTGTGAGGATTCAGGGTTAGAGTTTGAGAGATGTTATTAAATTGGCTGGTCTATGGCACTGGAGTGTGAATGACCCTTTCATCTGGCTCTTCACTCCAGTCAAATCCCACACTACCTGACTAATTAATATACAAGAAACAGCTTGGGAGCTGCTGCCAAAGACAGAAAAACAAAACTGCCTGGTGAAACTCAACAACACCGACATAACTTCCCGAGAGAGAGTAAAAAGGACTCTGAATTGTGATGAGGATGTTGGGGTGAGGAAGCTGACAGGGAGATTTGTAAGCAAATACAAGTTTCACTGTTCCCAGAACTTAAACAAAAAGAAATAGAACAGAAATTCTCAAAATGCTTTGCATGTAGCTCGAGTGAGGTGGCAGTTTTACACACTCACATATTCACACGTGTGTGTGTGTGTGCATGTGCATGCATGCGTGTATGTAATTGTCATGGTGGATTAATTCCAAGTGTAGTGACTGCAGCCAAGGTAGCAGCGATAGACCATTTACTGTGGGTCTACTTTGAATCAAACCCTGTATTTTCTTCTTTCCTTTTTTTTATCTCATAGGAATCTCATGGCCAAACTATGGGACAGTTATCATTCCCATTGCCAGGAGGAGAGAACAGACTTCTGAGGACAGGATTAATCATAGGAAAGGGCTTTGATAAAAACCGTCCATTCAGTACTTTGAGAGGCAGAGTGAGCGATGATGGATGGTCTATTCCTGAGAAGTTTCACTAGAGATAACTGAATGCATGGGCATCTCTGAGGAGGGAAGCACCTGCCCTCTTTATCCTAAATCTCCTGCCTCATCCACTTTCTCTCCAACCACAGACGGGCAGAGTGAGGAAAAGAGACATAATTTTATTCTTTTCCATGGGCAGAGAAAGGTACCAGATTGGAAATCAACTCTTTCAAGGGGAATTTTAGTTGAAAATTAGAATATCACACTCAGTTTCAATCAGTCACAACATTTATTGCCTATGAACACCATTGACATTTACTGCCAACTATTTACCGGCCTCTAACTATGTGCCTTTACCTTCATGGTAAATAATTCATGTACATATCATTTAGTCTTTAGAATTATCCTGTGGAGAGGGTACTACTTTTCTACCCATTTTCCAGATGAGGGAATGAAGGTGTGAGAGCAGTAACTTGCCTAAGGCGAGACAGCTAATAAACGGCGAGGTTGGGCTTAGAGATGAGCTCTGGGCATTTAACCACCAAACAATAAAGACTTCGCCACGATGTCCAAAGTACCATATATGTAAGTGTGGGGATTAAACAAAAGTGTCAATGATTGCTCCCTGTCCTCAAAGAGGTTTTAGGACTATCGAGAAGGTAAAATAAACACAAATGGAAACAGTTAGCAATGCCTCACTGCAGTTCATGTTGGGGTCAAAGGGATGTGAGAGAAGATTCATGGAGGGAGAGGTTGCTGGAGCTGAGCTGGGCAGGATGAGCAGGGATTAGATAAACACAGCAAAGCAGGTTGGTCCCAGGGTAACTGAACAAATATTAGACTCCCGGGTTTAGAGTATTAGACTCCTGGGTTTAGAGCAGAGAGCATAGTGTCATCAGATGAACAGAGTGGGTCCCATTTAGGAATTCTGAGGCCTCCCTATGCCTCAGTTTCCTCATCTGTCAGAAGGGAGAATACCCATTTGAGAGGGAAAAGGAGGCAGTCACTACCTTCCCCTCTACCCACCCGATTACGTTCAACTTTCCAGCAGAGTTGCCTTTGCCCGCAAAGAAGATGTTAGGAAGAGCCCTACCTGCTGAGAGAAGCCCTTCACCACACGCCTTTGCTTGAGGTTTGTCTCTCCGTCCAAGTTGGCCGTTTCCAGGTGGCAGATCCCACTGGGGTCCGAGGAAAAGAGGAGGAGAATGTCGGCCGGGATGATCTCATTGCATCGCATCTGGATGAAGTCTCCCACACGCACATCCCTCCAGCGCTTCTGCACGTAGCTCTGCTCCTTTCTGGGGTGGGAGAAACACAGGGGTCAGCCTGAGTCCTGAGCTTCTCCAGAAACTTGATAAGTGAATGGAGGAAGGTTTTACTTGCACTGAAATATCTCCCAGGAAGCCTGTCACATGACTGCTCTGTATTTGACCTTGCCCCTAATGACTACCACCAGAATCTCTCTAGAAAAGCTAAGCATGATCTCTCAAATCCCACCAGTACAAGATCCACCCTTATAATCATCTAGAGTTTTCATTGACTGTTGTCTGTTGACTGGGGACGGTGCTCAGCTTTTGCTTCTGCCAAGGAAAGGAGAAGGTAACGCAGTCATATTAGCATATACTTTGAATATACATCTTTTTCCCAGAATAGCCAGTTATCACCGTATAACCCAGTTATCACAGGGTTGCAAGGAACTGGGGTGCAGGAAAGACCGTTTTTGATTACAGGAAGAGAGTGGCCATAGGAAAGGTGAGGATATAGGCCTGTGTATGGGAAGATCTGAGTGGTTCTGAAATAGAGAACTCTGGGTCATTAGGGAATTAGGAAGATGGCACCAGGAACTTTGATTGGATAGAACCCATGTGGTAATAAAATCAGAGGACTACAGGAATCTAAGGATATTATATACTTCCTTTTCCCATCCAATTTATCAAGCTCAGATAATAGCAGTGGCAGCAATAATAGCAAATTTAGCATTTCTACTGTGCCAAGTACTGGTGTTAATGAATGCTTCACTTACCTGCATAATAACCCAATGGAGTAGATACTATTGTATCCATTGCACAAATGAGGAAATTGAGAGTCCAAGAAAAATTTCCCCAGGTCTTACCAAGACGGAGCTGGAACCTGGGCCTGGGTCCAACTTGACACCAAATCCCAGAGTTTTTACTGCTTGGACAGCCCCCCTCCTCAAACACATGCCCTCTCTCCTTTCAGAGGAAGGGCAGCCTCAGCTGGTCCGCCACCAGCAAAAGGACTTGCTATTACTCAAGGCAATGCACTCCACTTCAAGGAGCTCTCCTCTTCTACCATTTTAAAAATAACTTAAGGTGTTCATATGCGTCCCATGAAGTTTTCTGGACATGTCAAGTTGAATTTAACTTCCCAAGGGCCCTCAATTTTTCTTTCAAGATCTGTCCTGCAGGTTTGGGCTCTTCGGTCTCAGGCTGCGTTTAGAAAGTCCCTCTTTAAATATGGGAGTTGGAAACAAACCACTAACCCACAAGGTCTTTTTAACGGAGCCCAGCTGGCCCGGAGAGGCAGGTTCTCCTTTGCTGTTTTTCTCTCCTGACACTGAGCCCCTCGGGGCATGTTATTGCTCCTGTTTCTACTGGAATCCGGGCTGCCCTGGGCAGGACAAGTCCACTCTTCCAGAGAAAGAGGCATGACTGGAATTTCCCTTTTGACTTCACAAACATCCTGAGGAGGATAAGGGGTTTGATGTCCACCTCCCTTCTCTGGGGGCCCTCTGGAGAACCCCAGGCAAGCCTTCCTAGGACCCCATTTTCCTTGTCATAAAGGACCCTCCCAGAGACCCTCTCAGTCCCGACGTGAATGTGCTTCCCTACGGAAGTCCAAGGGGAGCTCTCATTAGAGTCTGGGAAGCAATTGGGGCCCTCAGAACTGGAGAGCAAGCAGCCTTGCAACTTTCAAGCCCCTCAGAATTCTGGGGAAGTACCCATGTGCCCAGAGAGCTCGGTGCTTAAGTCCACCCATGGATTTTGAGACCACTTCTGAGGAGTGGGGGCAATGCTCCCGTAGCATTTTACTAAAAATTCTTTTTAGGGAAAAGCATGTCACAGGGTTTTAAGCACTCTCAGTCCACCAGCTTCTTTTATGCTTCCTCTCTTCCCCACATCATGTTTCCCTCCTGCATGAAGAACAGTCACCCCAGATTTGTTTCTCAATGTCATTTCAGAAATACATGCATCTGTTTATTGATGTATTTAGGGTGGATACGCCCCCATGGGAGTGTCGGCGTTGCTGTCAAATAATCCATTTGGGGAAGGATCCAGGGAAATATTGGTCTCTCTTCAGATCAGCCCTAGGAGCACCTGTTAAATGTCCAAATATAAGGCTGCTTAAAGGAACTGGAATGGGTTCATAGGGTAATGGAGTGATGGCTTTCTCTATTGCTTTTTCCCCCTTTTTGAGAGCATGCCTTAAGAAAGGAGTCTTAAATATTAACAGCAAAATTTCTCCAAGAAACAAACACTTCTCATTTGACTTTCTACCTTCTTCCTCACTTCCCCGCTTCACCATCTGTGTCCTATGGGATAAAGCCTTTGGGGATGCTGGGGTATCTGTTGATTGCTATAATCTCAGCATTCCACCTGGCATTTGAAGTAGGATTTAAGGAGAACACTTTGACTCTGAGCAATCTCCTGATTGCCAGCGCTTTCAGAGCACACTGACGCAGGTTTGCAAATGCTAGTTGGGTGTGCTGCATACATAGGCTTATCAAAGGCAAGTCCAACACACCTCTACCGATTAACACTGCATCTTATTCTTCTCCTTTCTTATAAAGGACTGGCTGCTTATTATGGGATGTGGGTTACTAAGGTGATGGAAGGTTATGGAGATGAGCTTATGCTTATGGTATACATTTTTTTTATGAAGAGTCACTTCTGCGAGTTGGGCTATAGTGTTGTTTTGTCAATTGCCACCATGATGACAGGTATCGCATGTCCATGGAGCCGCCCAAGAAGTTGTAAGTCAGACCAATCTCTGTCTTCTTTCCATTATTCTTTGGATCCCAGGGAGGTCACTGTGACACTGGTGACAATCGCCTCTGTCCTTTCTTTAGACATACGCCTCTCTCCTTTACGATGGCATGTGGTAGTGAAGAAACATGCTCATTGTAGGCTTCCCTCCCCAAGCCAGGGTGCCCATCTCCCGGCTGTGCTTCTCCAACAGAGGCACGCATACCTCCAGGCACACAGCCCATCGTGTGTGTCTAGGAGTCACGAAGGTATGAAATCAACATGATTTTGGGGTGTTAGTTCTTAAAAAAGAATTTTTTGGTGGGGGATATGGCTTAGTAATTTAGCTGCCTCATAATTTAAAGAATTCTATGAACTCAAATATAGTTATGAAATCAGAGGAATTTTAGGGATAAAAAAGGGAGACATCAAGGACACTGCCTTCTTGCACTGGGCCACTCTGTGTTGTTCTCCTGATCCTCTGGGTCCACTTTTTCTCTTCAACTGTCAGGAGCATGAACGTGGAAAAGGCAAGGATGCACAGCCCGTGGGGCTCCAGGCAGAGGAGGTGATGACTGGCTGAGTCCAGCTGAGGCGGAAAAGCGTGCTCCTGCATTGAGTGACAGCCAGATGCGGCCAGCTGTAGGCTGGCAGCCACCTGAGAAAGTCATTCCCTGGCTAATCCAGCCCATTTGGAACAGCTGACCCAGGTGGACAGGTCCACCCCCCCACCCCCGTCCACTCAGTGAGTCCACACCTGGGAACTGACTGCTATTTTAATTTCATGGAATGTTCACTGATGTTTAAAAATGAGACAAATCAACAATGTGGCTTGGGACAAAGACTCCATCTGGCAGATTCTGCCTCCAGGAGAAATTAAGTGGCGTCATGTTAAATGGCTTTCCGAGAGGAGATAGGGCTTATTAAGAGGTAAATAAACAGCAAGAGAGATTTGTAACCAACCAGATGTCATGGGGAAGCAGATAAAAGGGTGGGGAGGGATGGGGGAGAAGAGGATGCTTAAGGTTTCATTTCTCAAATACGTGGGTTTTAGAAAAAAGGGTTTCAAGGAACTGGAGTTGAGGGAATTTATCAGGAGGATTAGTTGTCTGTGGGACTTTTAATTTAACAGAGGATGATGCACGGGCCTGGGCTATCCTCCAGGAAGCTTGACAGTCAAGCCCAGAATGGTCAGTGCTGCTGCCCAGGGTAAAAGGAAATGTCAGGGAGAGTGAGTGCAGGGCAGGGATTAAGAGCGGGCTTGAATCCCAGCTTCACCATCTATTCCCTGTGTGATCTTGGGCAAGTTACTTAACCACTCGGTGCCTCTGTTTTTTTTTTCTATTGAAGGTAATATATGCACTTGCCTCAGAAGGATGGGTGATGTGACAGGTAAAGTACTGAGCTCAGGGTTTCGCACTTAGTGCTCAATAAATACAAGCTTCTGTTACGATGATAAGGAGGACAAACGGCTGTTAGTGTTCTGGCAAAGGCTAAGCACTATGAAGCCAGCCCCAGGGTGTTCTTCATGCTGTAGGGACAGCCATTTTATGCCCTTGATTACATTCTATGGCTTGGGCCCAAGCACACAATGTACAAACACAAGGGACTCTAAAAATCCAAATCTTTTCTCTAAGCCCAGAAAAGAAGGACCCAAACTCAGCAGATCGAAGACTTAAGCTGCTGGCTACTGAGACAAACTCCCAGAAAAGGGGACCCTTAAAACCAGGGCTGCCTAGCAAGTCCTTTTTTGGACCCTGACACACTAATTCTAAAGTTTCTATGGAGAAGCAAAGGACCCAGGATAGTCAACACACTATTGAAGAAGAACAAAGTTGGAGGACTGACTTCAAGACTTACTATAAAGCTATAGCAATCAAGACAGTGTGGTACTGACAAAAGAACAAATAAATAGACAATGGCACAGATGAGAGAGCCAAGAAGCAAACCCACATAAATATAGTCAGCTGCTCCTAATTGCTTCATGTGCCTTCTATTTTCAACGTGTAAGAAGCTTGCTGAGAGCTGGGATGACCTTTAGCCATTTTAACATCCAGTCTATCTATTCTTATTATGGCCTCACCAGTAGAGACTTCCAACAATGATAATATATTATAATAGAATATACTATAAGTAATATTATATATAATGTATATCATATATAAATCAAATATAACAAATATAATAAGCTTATATCTATTGAGTGCCTGTAATGAACCCAGCACTTAACCTATATTACCACTTAGCTATCAAATAATGAAACAACTTTTGTTATTATCATTATATCTGTATTTCATAGATGAGAAACTTAG